TTCCCTAAAAAGTCCCACAGTTAAGTGGCAGCTCTGAAAATGCTGGTGTATATCCCCTTGTGGGAGACCCAGTATTTAAACCTTTTGTCCAGTGCCTTGGTGTATTGAAAGAGGGGAAAATTAATCCAAATCCATGCTTCACCTTCTGGTACTGGACACCTAAGCGTGGCAGGTTGGGAAGGATCTTATTGCTCAGAAAGTTCCAGAAAACAAAAATGCCACATTTAAGCAGTGAATAATGCTAGTCTTTGTTGCCAAGGCAACCATCACCTGAATCTGACAGCTTCCATTTCATTTTCCAGTTTTTAAGATGTCCCATTGCTAATATACATCCTAGAAAAGGTTGGTTAACCCGTGTCAACTAAATCAAGGGAATGGACAGATGATCAAATTGCAGTGAATTAAAATAGGGCAGGGGCTTCCTTGGCGAAACTGCTTTGTGGGAAACGTCCACCTGTCTACTCTTTCCCCAGGGTGAGCGAAAGCTAAACAGGGGCAGCTCTTCCATTCAAGGATAAGCTGTCCCAGTTTTATTTTCACGTCTCATGGGGTCAGAGCAGGCAGACAGTTACCACGCGTCAGCTGCTCTACAGTGCATCGTTTGGTCCCTTTTAACTTGCACCAGCTGATTGTTTTGTCCACGTGCAAAGATGCTCCATCCAGAAATAGCTGCTCGCATAATGAAAAATAAAGCCCATTCTACCCCAGTCTCATCCTTGCAGCGAAACAGGGTAGGCATGCCCAAAAGGCTAGTAAAATTAATCTTCGGGCCAATATTAGAAGCACATTCCAGATTTGACAACACCATTGAAAGCATCCCGCTGATAATTTCCAGATGTTCGAATCTGGGGGCTCTTTAACGTAAATCTCAGTTGAAGACACAGGCATGCCCGAGAGCTGCAGGTGAGGCAGAAGCTGATTTGTGATGGGAGATGGAATGAGACGTGATGTGCAACTTGCAAGGGAATTCAGTACTCTGGCATGCTTCAGCGGCAAGTTGCAAGACGTTTTTCTTGCATACTTTTCTCAGTGGAGATGCTTGCTGCCTGTCTGTTTCTGCTGTTACTCACCTGCTCTTTCACCCTGCTTTTCTTTATGATTTTTTCCTCGTTTTGCTTGTGTTTTAAATAGAGGTGAGGATGAACCAATCTTTTTTCTTTTTCCTCTGTTCCCACCAGCACCCGACATCGTGGTCTTCCTGTTCGCTACTACCCCCCAAGTCTCTCCTGGTATTTTATCTCTGGCTTGTTCACAACATTCATGTACATGATATGCATGCTTTTTTGTGAGTTTGAGCTGTGTGTCTGTATTAAATATGCATGGGAATGGTATGCAGATTATTCTGTTTTATTTCATGTGGACTTGCTGGGAGTGGCTGGCTCTAAATACTCTTTTTTTTTTTTTTTTTTTTTTTTTTAAGAGGATATTAAATATGCATTTTCTAGCTTAAAACAAATGCATTTTCTTTTAGGAGATGACAGTAGTTTATGATGTCTTTATGAGGTAGCATGTTCTTTTAGGGGTTCATACTGCAACCCCCTTGTTTTGCATGGGGCTGTTAGTTCTTGTTGGGTTATGGCAGGAGATGAACAAGTCTGAGTGCATGTTATTTCAAGCATGGCTGAGCTTGGGACTCAGGTGCGAGGTGGCTTTGACTGACTTAGGTATATAATGGAGCCTAAAGTAGCTGCACCTAAATATTGGGAGTGTGAATGATCTTGGCTACGCCAGACAAGATTGAAACGCTGCTTATACACAAGACTGCTGATGTCTTGACTGTGAGGCCAACTTGATTATCAGTTCTGTGAAAGCCTTATGACCGAGATATAAATCTGTCTGTTTTCATCCCGTGTGTTATCTTTTGTCTTCAGTGCTGACTCTAGTCCCAGTATCACCAGCATATACAAAGCTAAAAGCTTGGTATCCTAATATTAAAATGCAAAAGTTTTTTTGGTAATGAATAGTTGTTACTTTGAAATATTTTGGCTACTGTTTGGTACACAAATGAATTCTAAATATAACAGCTTCCAAATAGACTGCTGAGGTTTGTTCTGACATCTTTTTTATAGCGATAATTCAGGTTATTACCCATTTCAGCTAAACAGAGCAAACTGCACATACCATTGCTAATGCCTCAGTTGTTCTGAAATGTGAGGGGAAGATGACAGAAAGTAATCTTTAAAGTAATGGAGAATTCAATAAAAATGTCTAAAATATTCTCATTTGGGTTTCATGGAAGCTTAATGGTAATTAAGAGACCTTAAATGTGTTACCTTTAAAAAGAAACAAAACCACTTATTGTTTAACCAAGTACATTTCAAAGGTTCAAACTGCTCCTTATGCATTTGTTCAAGACTGCAAAGGATTGGAGAGAGCGGTGGATGCTTTTAAACATGTACATGCGATTACAAAAAACATTGCAGATAGTGGAATAATAGGTATTTAATTTCTTTTTAGCTGCATTTCAAACAAGGAAGACAGAACTGGCAGGGGAATTCTGTTTTTTCCTAAAGAAGACATTTATTACATACAAACACATTAAATGGTCTTGGTGAAAATTAAAACATTTTATAGTTGATAACAGGTCATTTTCTTAAAACCGCCATTTAGCTCCTCATGAATCATTTGGAAGTTATAAACTGAGTTATAAAACTAAGCTCTGTTCTGCATAATTTGTCTGAACAGTTTTTTGGAAGGTGTTTTGTATGCATTGCTTCTCACATCAGACTTAATTCTGATCATTAAAATAGAGCATTCAGGATTAAACAGAAGTACTTTTTGTTTATGATAGTCCGCATTTGATGTTGTTTAATTATTCAAATAAGATTGGAAACACTAATTGTATATGGTTTTAGTGTTGGGAGTATTTAGTCAAGGCGAAAAACAACCCTGTGCAGAAGAACAGGCCAAGATCTTATTTTCTCCTAGTGTGGGAGTGTAAATGGGACTCAGGTGCAGCAAAAACCCCACAATCAGCAAAAGGTGAATTCCACACTAAAAGAATAAAGGACAAGTCTCATCATGGTTGATGCAGTGTGAAGTGTATGATCTTAGGAAGGCTACTTTATCAGCCAATTTCTCAGCACTTATTGCCGTACCTTCTGGTCCATAAACAGGTTGAGAAACATGGTAAGAACTGTAGAAATGAGCCGGTGAATTTTCTGTCCTGCTGCTCATGACATCCGTAGGATCAAGCCCTTCCAAATGTTTTTGGGTTTTCTGCCAACCAGTTCTTCAAGCCTTTCTATTTTTTGTTTTCTTCTCTCTGAGGGCAAACAATGTAAAATTTAATCTTCTGCTTGAAAACTTCCCCTGGCCTCTCCTGAAATGGAACTGTAAGCAATTAGCAAGATCGACTGACCTGCCTACAGAAATAGGCTGAGAAATTACACTGCCATTTTGTGGTGCCAATAGCTTAGAAACTTTGTACAAGAGGTGGATATGACCATCTATTCAGGGTAGCATGGGCGGAAACCTGGTCAAGCTGTGTTTGTAAAGCTTAGGTTGAAGTTTATGTTCTGCTGTGAATCGACATGAAGCCATACCTCAGGAAGGTGGTAAGTCTCTGAACTAACACAGCATGCATAGAAGTTGTTCGGAGCAGAGTGAAAATGACATCATCTCATCATAAATGATGACATTGGCATTATTTAGGAGTGTGGCAAATAGACTTCCGATTTCTGGTAGCACTCTTTTGTTACTTTGTCATTCCACCTGCCATCATCTCATTGCTTTCTCTTGAGCAACTCAGACATAGGCTGTCTCTCTCTTCGGCTACATAATGACTAGCATGGCACGGCCTTGATCTCCCTTGGTAATTCTTAGGTGCTGTCATAACAAATATCCATTGGTGTGCCTCTAACAAGAACCAGCTGTCAAGGATATAACTCATATTATTGATTGTGCAATTACTGTGACTCTCTTAATAGTTCTAAGCGCTGCATTAATTTGAGAGAGGAGCATGTGTGAGTGTTCACTCACGTGCACCCGTATAGACACACCGAACGAATTGGTCATACATATAACTGGTAATGGTGAGCTATTAACTTTTAACCTCAGACTTTGAGTGATGGAGGAGAGTCACGCAGTCCTGTCTCCAGCAAAGCAGTAAGGATCAAAATGCTAATTATTCAACTTTTAACCATTTTCTATAGCTTATATTACAAAATTCATCAGCAAAACCAGACTTGTTTTCCTTTCCAGAGGCATTGTAGTTGTTTTACATAACTTATTATCTTCCTGATACAGAAGGCAATAGTTGGGCTGTGCTGTCTGATTCTTCAATAATTGTGGGCTAAAAGTTTTAATCATTTTGTTTGAGCAATACATTTAAAAATAACATACTTGACTTTTTTCTACTTATAACATGAAATTACTGCACATATGAATAAAGGCTTATTTATTTGCCAGCGGGTTAATTTACAAGGAGAAAATACAGGATGCCATTCATGAACACAGTGCCTTATTTGTGATTTTGCCCTTCATGGGGGGATATGAGAACGTATCCCCCTGCGAATGTCGAGGGTCGTCTGTACCTCACTTGGGGAAGGAGTGGATGACTTAGGCTAGGTACAGACATTCACAAAGCCTGAGGCAGAGTCAAACTAAGTTGCATGATTTTCTATAAACAGCGGGGCACAAATCTTAGACTGGGTTCTGCCATTTTTAAGTCAGTCTATCTGTACCAAACTTTGGTTGTGTTATGGGCATAGACCGGTTTCCGATCACTTATACTGGTAAAAGTGTAATGTCTGTACCTGGCCTTAGGCAGAAAGGTTTGTGTGAATTGTAATATAAGCATCATCAGACAGAGACTGCAGAGCTATCATTTCATTATTTAGAATTCTTTTTCATGGGTGCAGTCTGGACTAGCACTGACTCTTAAGAGACTGGCAATTAAGCATGGCATATGGTGTGATATGTGCTCAAAACTAAAAACGAGCATCTTCCAGGTATATCTTCCCTCTTACAAATGCTATTCTTTTAATGGCATCTCAGTCAGAACAAAAACATTACGGTAAAAACAGACCTCAGATATCCCCCAGCACTGTGGATCTTACAGTAAAAGCCCATTATCTCACTTCATGTGTCCAAAATAACACATTTTTCCCAGGACAATCGCAGCTAATTTGAGTTAATTACCATCCATTCCAGGGATGAGCTGTGTGTGCAAAGGGCTTTGCTGCTTCCAGGTTTTGATCAATCAGAATCAAAATGCGACATCTATTTTTTACCTTTAGTGTTCACATTTGGATACTATAGTGATGGAGGCTGTAAGTCCTTTGCTATTCAAACCAATTCTCTTATAAGTAGAACAGCAGAGAACTTAACTTAATAAATAAAGCACGTGGGTAGAATCTACAAGTGATGTTGTCTCTTATTACCACAGCAAAGAAGATTTTTAACAAAGGGTTAAAGAAAGCAGTGAAGTGTCCCTACAAATAATAATGGGGAGTTCCCCTCAGATTTGGGGGAAATGAGCATGAAGGCTTTTGTTGGCAAGTCTAACAAACCCATGATAAATACATGGATCGGCTAGAAGTTGTACTTAATTTCCTAAATGAGAGAGAAGGTACAGGGAAGGGCTAGGGCCTGAAAGGCCTTGAAAGTGAAGAGAAGCTGCATATATATGATGGAGGAGAGAAGGCAGAGCCATTGGAGGGATGCAAAAAAAAAAGAACAGTGACATGGAAAAAGTGACAGGCTAGGAAAATGGTCTTTGCTGCAGCCTTCTAGATGCATATGAGCAGGGCAAGGCTCCATTTCTCAAGGTCAGAGAGAGGGAGAGATGTTGCGGTAATGGAGATGTGAGATGCTGACATCCTAAACGAGAATTTTAGCTGTGTGGATACATACAGAAAGCTGTATCTTTGAGCCATTAAGCAGCATGAATCAGCAAGATTTAGACAGAATCTGGCTGCAAGGCTCTAGAGTGAGATATGAATTAAAGATTACTTAAAGTGATGATTTCAGTGGGTTGGTATGCATACAAAAACAATTAATGCACTCTAATGTTACTGTTCTTTGTCTTCCTTTTAGGTAAAGATGATGAATTTCCCAAGAAGCCATTGGGACAAATTCCACCAGACCCACAGCCTGGCGTGCTTAACCTTACTCACATGCTCAATGGACAGAACAATACTGGTACACAGGCAGCACAGAAGACAGAGAGAAAACCGTCTTCTGAAGAAGTTCAAGCAAATTCACCAAATAACAGGAGAAGAATTAATTCCTTGGAGAAGAGGCCTTCATTCAAACACCAGAAGTCTGGGCCCCTGGATACACGGAGTGGGAACTCCAAGAATGATATAGATATCAGAAAAAAGCCTCAGCCAACAGCACAAGACACTTCCAGGCAATACAATAATGCAGCTGCTAACCAAAATTCTAATGCTACTTCAAACCCAAGAAGGGAATTTGTACCTAAGTGGAATAAACCATCAGATATCAAAGTTATTGAAAAGACCGCCAGATTTAATACTGAGGTCAAAGGTAGAACAATAATCCATTCTGTTTCAGGCATGCCACCGAGTCCCGGAGAACCACAGCCATTGAATGTAAAGCAAAAGATGAGGGTTTTGGATGTTGATGAAGGTAAGCGAGGGTCTAATGCGTCACAGTATGACAATGTTCTAGATGTTGACCATGAGAATGAGAATCTTGTTGAGGAAGAGCTAGAGAAAGCTCATGTGCAAAGTCCCAGGAATGTAATGTACTCTAATTCTCCTAGGAAACAAGTGGAAAAGATCCCTAGTCCGCTAAAACTATCCAGCAATTATGCCTTCAATTCACAACCGAGAACCCCACGTTATTCATCTCAATCTGATGGGTCAAGTCATGGATTGAATGTAAAACCACCGCTGCCATCTTATAATAACCCACCTACTTACCATGGAAACTCTCCAAAGCATGCCTCCAATATAATGAATTCTGGTTTTATACCTCCTCAGTATAATCATGGGAATCGAACCAGCCCTTCTAGTAGACCGTATGGTTCTGTCTTTTCAACAGAGTTTTTTCCTGATAAACCACATATGAACTCTTATCCTGCCAATCACCAAAATCCTCTGTCTCCAACCCCTAATAGAATAGAAGTTCTGCCTTTTGATGCCTATCCCAGCAACTCTAGATCACCTACCAGCGTCAAATTCATAATTCCTCCAGTGGATTATTCCAGCAGAATGTGGCCAGATGCTCCTTATGTGCACAGACATGAAACATACGGGCAGCCTTGGAACCAAGATGCTAACCGAAGCCACTTGGATAACTTACAGAAATATCCATCCTTTCAGACAGCACCTCTTCATGACCATAATCTTCCAACTGTTTCCGTGGATGGTTCAATAAGATACAGAACTTCACCAACCTTGGAAGAATATGGTTCACCACAATATCAATATTCAAGCCCATCACCCCATGTCCAGCCCCACAGAAGCCGAAGCGATGGGTTGTCTATGCATGAATCAATACTTCTGTGAGAACTAATCTATGCTAACTGAAAAAGACAGGAACCAAAAACACTAAAGATATATTGCTGTGTTTATAATTATCCAGATCAGTATTTTATACAGAATTTGGACAGTTCGTGCAAGTCTCTGAGAAATAAGAAATCTATTTCAGAGCAGTTTCACAGTTTGACTGGAGACTAGTTGAGCGCTTAAACCTGCATTGAGCCCATTGCAAGGGATCTAATGCAGATAAACATAGCAGTAGCAATAGTGTCATATGCATAATGTGGCTGATACTACCATTGTTTCTTAAATTGAAGTAACTTGCATAGAGAAATGATCTATCTGCCTAACACATGTAACACATTTTCAAGCTGTAGTTTGACATTACAATGCACTGTATAAGTATATGTGTGCGCTTGTATGCATAAACTTTGTGTGTGTGTGTGTGTGTGTGTGTACACACACACACACACACACACACACACACACACACACATATGTGTGTGTGTGTGGAGAAGACCTAAAGAGTTTAAAATGTAGATGCATTTACTCTTGGGCTAAATTTGAAGTATTTTTTCAGTTTAATTATTTTATGTGTAATTTATTTGATAAATGAACCCATTCATTTTGAATGGGCTCTTCCTGTTATTCAGGTATCAACTGCCTCAGTAACCCAGAATCTGATCTAAGTTGGAGAGATACTTTGGGATTATTAATGTATTCTTACCTGGGATGATATTGCCCAGCTAATCTCCTCTCCTTTTGGCTACTGACTTGCCTTTTCTATAAGAAAATGGAACAGGCAGACAAAAAACCATGAAGCCAAAAATGGTGTCTGATCTGGCTAACAATGGTGCTTTAAAATCGGGGCAGTCTATAAGGATAGCATGTCTCTAGGGTATGGGTGAACTTTTGGCACAGATTTTGTACCTTTGCACCCAAATCCAGTTTCACAATGTGATGCTTCGTGTCCCTTTTGGAGTCCTCCAAAGTGTTTGAGCGCAACATGCAAAGTGCCAGATGCAGAAGTAATCCTGCATTCTTGGCATGATGCTCATGCCAAGGAGTCAGACTTAGGAAGTCAGTTGTAGGGTACACTACTGGATTGCCAAATAGTCCTCTTACAGGTACAAAAAAATTGCCAGCCCCTTGACGTGCTAGGAGTAAGACATGCAGCCCTCTTAAGCTCTGTTATGTCAGTACCTTATTATGTTTTGCCCTCCTTTTTCCAAAGAGCCAGTAGGCTCATGTCCATGGCTGGGCAAATGCTTCTGCACCATTAGGCTGTTGAGAAAAATTTGTGTAATGTCTTATACTAAAGTAACCCAGACTGTTAATAGGAAGTTTCCTAGATTCCTTGTCATTTAAGTGTCACTGGTTAGTGCTTGCAGCCTTTTGTAACTACCTTTCCTTTTGTTTTCATCCACTGTGAAATGAAAAAGCGGCATTCTTAGGGTGCAGTCCTCTGAGCTGCTGAACACCACGTGGAAGGTGCTGAGCACTCATTGAAGCTAATGGGAGTAAAAGGTTGTAAGAGCCTGGCGAGTTTGAGCCCTTGCAGGCTCTGAACAGAAGAGATTTCTAACTCTTAAATACCAAAACAGCAGCATCAAAATCAGGCTGGGTGTTGGGGAGGTGTTTTGAAAGGTTTGTTAGCAGTCTACACTGAACGCAACATTGAACACTAGAAAACATAACTTTTTTTTTCTTTAAAGATTGAGCTTTGGTGCCTATTCTTGCTGCAGGTTGGCTCTCTAAGTTTTAAGGTACAGAAGTAATTTTTTTTTTAATGGAAGTAATCTTTAGTTAGGATATTTCACAAACTTTTTTGTGTATATAAGGAGCCTGATGTAATTTTTAATAAACTGGGCAATTTTATATTTAAAAAATAATTGCAGATTGCAGTGAAATAACAGTAGCAAAGCACTACACTGAAACTCTAAAATTGAAATTGTGATGCTAATATTATTTGGGCTTACCTTAGTTCTGATTGCTTATAGCAGCTTAGAAATGTCTGTATATATTAATATGGCTAAGCATAATAATCCCAAAGTTTAACCATGGTTCTGTGATACATTATAAATAAAGCTGTACAATTTACTTTGTGCAAGCAGCACAAGGCTGCTCCAAAATATGTATCAACACTAGTAAATACTGTAGATTTTTTTTTATATATAAAATATATGCACACTATTTTCTTACGTCATCTGCAACAGTTTTATAACTGTGTATCCTATTTTGATGTGACCATATTTTTAACATGTTAAATAATAATAATTAAGTCTTTGTTGTTTTTGTGCCTTTTTTTTACCATGTTTGATTATGCTCATAGTTAAGCTGTTCTTCCCAGGATGAATGATACACATGGTTTGATAATGTAGGCCCTTTTTACTTTGTCTGTGTTTTACTTTTTGGCTTGGCAATATCAATATAGTCCTTAGAAAGCCTCTTCACCATTCCAGAAGCAGACAGGTATTGATTGTCGTTTTCTTCAGTGTTAAAGCAGTGTTCGCAACATTTTTGGAAACCAGGAATTTGAACTGTCACCCTAATTTTCCTACCCTCTCCCAATATTGTCACCTACTATGAGTCAACAACAGTGGACTCACTGGCCCAAGAAGCCCTTACAGTTGTATTAATGCAAATCTGTTTTTCTATGGATTTAATGTGGCAGAGCAACCTGTACTATTGTATAGAGAAAGAAGCATATTCTTGCTTATAAAATCCAGTTATTTAGTAGTAATTAAAGGCATTCTCAACACCCAGGATGTCATTCCTGTTAGTTAACAAGGAACTCAGGGTTACAAAATATAGCAAAACACAAGTAGCATTATCTTTTGCATAAGAAGTCCTGCTTTGGCAGGGGCCCTGACAAATGAGATGTCCTCACAATTTCTTCATTTCCATATTCTAAAGTGTGCAAACAGTAAATATAGATACATAAATGCTCTTGGCTAAGTCCTCCCAAAATTTCAGAGAGTTTAAGGTTTCATAGATTTCATAGACATCAGGGCTGGAAGGGACCTCGGAAGATCATCGAGTCCAGCCCCCCGCCCAAAGGGCAGGAAGACAGCTGGGGTCATAGGATCCCAGCAAGATAAGCATCCAGTTTCATCTTGAAGGTGTTCAATGAAGGCGCTTGAACCACCTCCGGTGGCAGGCTGTTCCAGACCTTGGGGGCTCGGACAGGTGTGGGTGGACTGCTAGACTCTATAGTCCAAAATGATGTAATACATGGCATTTTCATCCAGGTGCCTATATTAAGTATAAGGACTTTGGCTGGACTAAATTATTGCATCACAGAGAACAGGAAAGAGAGGTGTCAACACTACCCAGCAGTGGTGGGTCCAGACGATCCCAGCAGGCAATGGATGCTGTAGAAGAAGCCGAAAAACCTCTTCCAGGCTCTGCCAATCTAATCTGTCCATAAATTCCTTCCTAGCTCCCAATTTGATGGTCAGTCTGAACTGGGATATGTGAACACTCCAGCTAAGCAGCCTGGAGAGAGAATTTGATACTACTGAAGAGCCTTGATTCAGCTTGTCTGATGTCTCACCTCTGTCTCTGGTCAATCTGTAATGGTTTAGAAGATGATGTGTATTGTGAGGGGGGAACAAAGTAGCCAATTGTGTATCCTTCCTGACGCCTGCAGCCAACTTATCTGAAAGCCTGAAGCATGAGGTTTGATTATAAGCATTGTCATAATGCAGAGCTAAAAGTTTTGGAAGTGTATTGAAAGCAGGCCATCCCAACCTTTCTGAAGAAGTATGAAGGAAGGAGGTAAATGGGTAAGTTTTAGTAGGATTTACACCCTTATAACCAGGGATCGGTGAGAGCCACTCTCATGCAGTGATCCCTTGTTAAGCTCTCTGACGGCCAAGAGCCCCCAAATCGACAAAAATGCCAAAGCGAACAAAGCTAAAGATACGGACCCCGTTTTTATCATACAAAAGAACCATCATAACCCAGAGAAGAATTGAAACCTTGTTATAAAGTAACAGTCTAGCACTGTATCCTCTCTACCTTGCACTCCCCCCCCCCCAAACCAAACAAAGCAATGCTAGCACTGCTGCTGGGAGCCCTTGGACATAGCTTGAGATGTCTCTTAATTCCAAAATTAGTTCTGAAGAGTAAACAACATCAAAATGTCAAAAGGCAGCACAGCCTAGCAATGTTGAGAGGCGAATCCCCAGGTTCCCTGAGGGACTTGTGTACCTTTTCCAAGGAGATTTTTCTGAAGAACCCTACCCTGAGTTTCACATCACCCGAGATTTGACTTTGAAATTGACTTGCAAATTACAGATTTTTTTTTTTTTATCTCCCCCGTGGGTCCCATTACCCTGCTTGCACAAAGGGGGAGTGCTATTCAAAATATGCCATCAAACGCCTACCTTTTTCTTTTCCAGCAGCGTGCATTCAGCTTCCAGTACTTCAGGGAGGAAAAAATCCTTTTTATAGTTCTGTAAACATGGCATGCTTTATGAAGATCTGTGAATGCTGCATAGTTACAGCTTAACAACATTTTAAGCAAAAAATAGTCTCCTCTCTTTAAATGTTAAAAAAGCATAGATTTCTCTTCTTGCATAACATGCCAGAGGGGGTTTTTTTTCTTTCCCTTTTGGGATGTTAAGGAGACCCAAATGCTCTCAGATGCACTGCTGTGATGCAGAGATGGTTAGGCCAATAACAACAATTGCAAACAGGATTGCAGTAATTTGAACATGGCTTTTAAAATGTTTGCCAAATCTATCAAGCTTGAGGAAAAGAACTGTGTTCTTGTTTCTCTGTACCAAATAAGTACTTAGCTGGAGCAAAAAAAATGCAAGTTCTTTTCTGAGTTTGATGCCTGCCCATGGCATTGTCTTTTAGTTTTTATTTGTACCTACACAGTAATCCATCCACAGGTACAGAACACCTGGGAGGTTGAAATCTTCTGAGAATCAGGATATCACGTTCTCACTCCTGTCCCCAATCTTATAGGTTTCTTTTGTTTATTCTATTGTGGTAGGGAAAATCAACCCGTATTTCATTCTTCTCTTCCCCCTTCATTTTGGCCAGGTTTCTAGAGCCGTTCTATGGAGTTTCCTTGAATAGCCGCGTGTTTGCTTTGCTCATTGACTGCTATTTGCTGGTAATGCAATCAAAGCAGTTAAGAACACAGAGGTCATCCTGCGCCTCTCCAGGCTTTTCTTCTGACAGTGTTCAGAGAAAACTGGTTTGATTACTCGGGGAGAGCTGGTCAGAATTTTTTTTGGCAAAATTGTATTCTCAGAAAAATGCCATGTTGACCATCTGAATGTCCCATCGGAATGGGTTGACTGATGTCAGAGCTTTTGGAAATCAGGTGCGTTTTCCAAGGTTTTGTGCTGGTTGGGTTCTCTAGCTTCTGCAGAGCTACAAGTCGGAAAGACCCGGGAGCCTTGGCTTGAGCCAGAGTTCTCGGGCCTTGTACCCACCCCACTCCGTGGCATGAAGTCTGCAAGCAGCCTGGAAGTCCAAACAAAATGGCATTGGGAGTTTTCTGTATAAAATCCTTGGAACTTCTTTTTTTGGGGGGAAATATAGTGGTTTCCTAGTAATGCAGAAAATATTTTTTTTTTAAATGCTAAAATTTCCTGCAACACAGGCATTTCAGATTCTAACTGAGCCTATTAACACTGAGCCTGTTATCCATTGGGGGTGTGCGAAATGGGCCGTATTCGATTCGGATTCAGCCCGTATCGGGGACAGTGATTTGATTCGTTGATTTGGATTACTGTCCCAATTGGATTTGGCCCAATCTGAATCTAAAGATTCCATCCTGATTTGGAGAATCAGCGATTCAGTGATAGACACAGGTTTAAATGTTTTTTTCTACATACCTCGAGGTACCAGGTGCAGCTCATGAATGCTGCAATGGCGAGGCGGATGGAGCGTCCCACAAGAGTGTGGGAGGGGGGCCCCCCCATGTGCTTGGTGGTGAACCCAGAAGTGGACTGGAAATACTTTACAGTCTGCCACTGAGCGAGTTGGGGACCCTCTTGTGCCCCCCCTGGCTCGGCGGTCAGCTGCAGGGGGACCCTGAGCGCCCCCCCCATATCCAAGAGGCACCAGTTGCTGAGCCGAGGGCAGGGAGGGGGCCCAGTGCACTTCCTAGCAGACCCAGAAGTGGACCAGAAGTACTTCCACTCCACTTCTGGGGCCACTGCTGACCATGCTGGGGACCCCCTCGTGCTCCTGTGGGATGCTCCATCTGCCCCACCATTCAGCATTGATGAGCCGCCTGGTACCTTGAGGTATATAGAAAAAACATTTAAAGCTGTGTCTCGACTCTCTCCAAATCAAGTCAGAGGGTTTCGATTCAATTCAGAGAGATTAAAGGGTCTCCTGACTCAATTCAGATTCAGAGATTCAGCTGCCAAATTGGGCCACATCTCCACCGAATCAAATCAGTCACCGAAGCTTTGCACAGCCCTACTATCCATAGACCTTGGTAAGGGTATAGTAAGGGTATTTTTTGAGAGTATTATACATATTGTGAAGGTTTTTTTGTCCTGGAAACTTCTTTCCAAAGGGTTTTAAAGGTTTTCTGAAGAGTGGGTGGGTGGGGGTGGGGAGGGAGGACTATTGTATTTGGAGTTGCTTTTTCAACACAAGGCTACATCTTTAAGAATACATGACATGTTAAAGGCCAGAGGGGGTTATGGAAACTTCAAGATTACTATCTGGTTCTCTCCTTCCGAATGCAGGAGCCTGAGTATACTTTAGTGGTTTGCACTAACTAAAAGGAACGTTGATCGTCTCGTGTTTGCCCGTTTTGGGATAAGCATGGGCCTTCCCTACTTTGTTCCAGTCATAGTCAATGCACAGCTTTATTCTCAAGGGAAGCTTCAAGCTGTGTGAAAATCCAATCCAGGCCTTCTCTTTGGGATTCTTCGTTCCTGGGTTTTCATCCCAAGTCCTGTAGCCTGGGGCCTTTACTGCAAGACCCACCTGCAGGGTCTGGGTCAGAAAAACACAGCGAGCACTTATACACATACATTTGTCTGCTCTGACGCGCCAGAGATCCAGCGCATCGAAGCAGACTCAGTTAATCAAGTCTGCTCCGCGTGCAGGCTGACGTACCAGGTGCTGCGTCGCCTGCATTTGTATAAATGGGGAAATGTATCAGGGCTGAGAAAATAGTGGCAGTGCGCTTTTGAATTAAAACACCTTTGATGTGTTTTAGTTCAAAAGTGCACTGCTGCCGTTTTCTCAGCGCTGACGCACATTTTGCCGTTTATACAAACACACGTGCCTCAGTGCCAGGCACT